ATTTTTAAATGTTTTTTTTTTATAATGATTTTTTTAAAATGTATTGTGAGCTGTCCTGAATCTTCGGAGAGGAGCGGCATATAAATTGAATTAATTAAATTCAATTCAATTCAATTAAATTGGCATTTTTAGGATATGAAAGGGAAACAGGACTTCATTCTTGCTTACCTCTGTTATAGTAGCTGCACATTAATTCTCTGAAATAATTCAGCATCAGGCAATTTGTTTGGGAGGGGGGGAGATATTTGGAATTATGAGAGCATTTGGTCCATATTCACAAAATGGCTACCACTCTGGATTTGACTAATCATAATCTGAACTAGCCTCTATACCAGGTTCTCTACCATTCCAGTTGGATATTTGTGAACCTGAAGGTAGCCTCCAAATAACTAGGAGTAAGCAGGACTAAGCAATTCTCACTTCCCAGTCTTGCTATCACACACACACACACACACACTGACACACTTTTGTGGTTTCCAGAACCATGAAATATATACATTCCTTTCCGCTTTCAGATGGAAATTCAGAACTCACTTAGAAGTGTTACAAGTACAGCAACACTCAAGGGAAATCATGATAATTTGAAGTTATCAAACTTAATGGGTAATCGGAGGTCCTATTTCAGTTTAATTTATGTCATAAGCGTTCTAAAATGGGAACATAACTGTATCTATCATAATACCAACCTGAATTCCACATCCCTTGGAATAAGATTAGAAATAAATTTAAGAAATAGTTGAAATGTGGGCCTACAGTATGTCTGCTTGTTGGCTTGGTCCCAGAAAATGGAATCAGAATTGAGAAGTTTGCATATTCTACCAGTATTTAGGCAGAAAGACTTCTCAGTGGCTTTAGAAGGACTTTGCCAAGAGGCCAGCTATAGTTGACAATTATATGGAAAGCAAAATATGATGACCAGTCCTTGAAGAACTGCAGTAAATAAATCTTTCCATGATTGAATGCATGGAGGGTGGGAGGATAACTTTCCTGCCATAATAATGAATTAAGGCTACATGAGTATGACCTTCAGTGAATTTGTAGTTCAGATTTCTATTGATTGCTACTCTTCTCCAGACTGTTTTTCAGTAATTCTATTTCTACCACTGTTTTTTTTTCTTCTTCTTCCTCTCTCACTCTCTGCTTATATCTTTTCTTCATCACCCCCACTCCATTTTGTCTTTTCACCCCTTTCTCCCTCCCTTGTACTACATCATCCGGAAATAATACATACATTCTTTTGATGCTTCAGGCTGAAATTCTTGCCTGCCACGCTTCTCCATGACAACCTGCAGGGAAGGTTAATTGATTTGGGGAAAGTGTGTGTTTCCTTCATACTGACAGTAAGGACTGACTGGAACATGCTATCCCTTACAGTATTGTGTTTACCAAGACTAACCGGCAATCAATGTGGCTTTTAGCATATGGAATTGCTGGTGCCATTTCTCCGCACCCCTCCACTGTCATCCCCCCTATTTCTTCCCATCGTTTCCTCCCCCGTTGCTCACCATCACTCCTGCAGAATTCACAAACAGGACAGAATCCAATGCATGTTCATAAAAGGTTCAACTCTCTGCCTCTGTTTGCTCTTCTTCTGGTAGCTTTCTGATTTTTCAGTTCCAATGTATTTAATAGATTCAGTCTTTCTATACAAGAACTCAGGAAAGGAAGCTGAAGGAATCGTGCCATTACTCCTCCTCCCTTGTTTAGTTGGTGTCACACCGAAATGCAGACTATGGGGGGAAAATCTGATTTCCACTACTAGAATGAAGCTACAGCCTGCATATAGATTACCATTAGATAAGGCATGAGCAGAAAGCTGTTTATGTGCACATATAGTGAGAAGTCCTAAGTACTTCCCAGCATGCAAATATACAATGAAATTCATGCATGTACGAGTCCAACTTGATTTCTGCTCAGATGTTCTTTTCACGATGGCATTTTTGCAACAAGTATAGGTTTTTTAGGCAGTTCAAATAGATGGAGATAAAGGAAGTTGTTTTAATTGGCCATCTGAAACTCTGTATCTTGTCTTATTTAAGATGGGTCTAACATAGCCAAGAGGGCCTCAGTTATGTTAGAAATATTCAATGTTTCATGTGTTCAGGCTTCCTGAATCATTAAAACATATGAGTAGTCCCAAAAACCTCTTTTATTGCAACAGCTGTGAATTACGTTCATTCACAGCTGAGTCCCAATTAGTTGCAAAAAGTCCTTCGGGAGAAGACCTTTGGGATAATCACCAACCTTTATCTGCCTTGACACTCTGCCAAAGATCTGCTTGGCAAAGCCACATGGATTCCAGAATCAAACAGAGATGCTGACTGGGAACAGAATTAACAACGTTGCTTTCCTGCAAAGTGCCCACGTGCCTTTGCTCCTCTTTTAAACCTTATGGGAGGGGCCAATCATCACCAGGCCTTACTCCCGAGTCATCCCTTTTGTTTTAACTGTTTGTGCCTTCTGGCAGCTCTGCACATGCACGCACTCCTCCTGTTCCTCTGCCTCTCTGCTGTCCGACTCTGGAGGCTCTTGAGTCCGCGCATCACTCCCAGATGGCCCTGGCCCCATCTCTGCCTCTGACACAGAGCCCTCATCTGGGCCTTCCCCAGACGCTAGGACTGGCCCTTGTTCCTCCCCAGCCTCCTCACTGTCCGACTCGGCTACCAGCTTCTCAGGCTGCTGGCGGACCACAACACTATTGTTTTATTTGGTGCTTAAATTATCAGAGCTTTCACAATCATCAAGGCACCGCTCCACTAAAGTACAGTTCATCTGGTCAATTTATTAAAACAGCAGAAATGGTAGTATGCAACTGGACCTCTGCTGGAAATTTAAAAAACGTTTTAAAATGTAATGAAAACAATCTTTTCTCCATGTTCTAGCTCCCTCTCTTAAGGTTTTTTCCAAAAAGGCTGTTGATGGTACTGTGAATGGCAGCATGCCTCTGTATACATAGGTCATCGTTTCTCAAAATGTTGGTTGTGAGACAATTAATTAACAGTTGTTCAAGAGTTCCTTCCAAACAAATGTTTCCAAACAGGCTTGCCAATTTGATGCAGAAGCATGCTAAATGCAAAGCAGGGTGACAATTCTGGAGCCCTGTATCATCATAGCTGATACAACAGGTTCTGTGTTCCTACTGAGTTCATACTGCAGTGTTTGCCATTCAAAAGAGGAGTAATTATGTCAGGAGAGCATGAAGATTCTGCACAAAGCTCTGATTTTCCCTCTATAGGAGGAATGTACAATGGAGGGAAAGGGGGGAAGGTTGTGATGGAGCAAGAGAAGGAAGTTGCAGGAGTGGACGAGGGATTTACAAACTATAGGGTTGAAGGGAAAGAACAGTTGGGCTGTGACCTTTACCTCATTGTGACTGTGCTGGCAGACACAGAGTCAAAAACCATTTATAACCTGCTGGGGGTTTTGAAAGCTGCAGTATTTTAAGAAGAGTATCTGACGCCAGGCAAGAGAATGCTTTTTCTCTCCCCTCCACCTCCTTCTATACATCAGGAATTATGCAAAAGTGAGCAAGTCCATCTTTACCATTGAAATGATCATTTTATTTCTTGCCCATAATTAATGCAATAAAATCATGATTTTTCCCCCATAGAGTGACACATCCAAATTCATGTTATCATAAATTATCATGTGCCTCCAAACATTAAACTACTTCCCAAAGAATGGCTTACAACTGGAAAAAAATGTTTTTCGTTGGTCATTATTTTGAAAAAAAAAATGGGTAGTTAGTAGAAACATAGAATTCAATACATCTGTGAGATTATTATATCTGAGATATCTGAGATCATTCTGAGTATCTTGATCCAAGATCTGGGGCTAATCGTAGCACATTTATCAAATACATATTTCATCACAGCCTCTTAATTGTAAATAGATGAATTAATAAGGTTCAACCTCATCTATATATAGCACTATTTATATTGCATTTTTAAAATTTTGCTGATATTAATAATTCTATATTGCATATCTCTCCCCAGCTTTTATATTCAATAGAAAAGCTCATATTTTTCTCCACAGAAACCAATGGTCTGATTTTTCCCCTTTATGGGGAAAAAAGTTTTTGATAGCACACCTTGAAAGGTTTTTTATATGAATGCTTATTCTCCTAATATGTGGATTGGGATATTTTATCTATCTTTTTGTTTGGTTTTCAAATTTGTACCCATGTCCTCCCCAGCAATGCCAGCCTGCAGCAGTTGGACAATAATAAAACTCTTATCATATCACAATTAAAAATACTCTGGTACTACCTTAAATGAGATTCAGCTTCTAAAATTAATTTTTCAAATTATGTTTAAAGGTAATATAGTGAGTAAATACTGTAAGTCATTAGTTTTGAAATACTTTTAATGGAACCCTGTAGCTACATTTTTTAAACCCAAGACAAAAAGCATAATCCATATAAATCACAATGATAAAACTTAGAGGCAGACCTTATATAATTGGCACTAGTTTTATGATGAAGTCCAAGCAATTTCAGTGCAGATACAACTTGGTTTGGACCTAATGCAGTAGAAACATATGAAGCTGCCATGTGCTGGAGATGAGCCAAAATAAGCCTGGCTTCCAAGTTTAGTGATAACTAGATTAAATTGAGCCAGTTAAAGGTAGAACTGTTAGATTGACTGAATAAATATTTTGACAAAATAGATTGCTTAGGCAGTCTTCTTCAACATGTGTCTCTAGTGTCCGCTGGACTGCAATAATTATATTTTCCAGCTGATAAAAGTGTATTCAAGTTGTAGTTCAGCACATCTGGATTGCTTCAGCTGGAAGAAAAATAGCTTTGGGCATTTGAGGAATGTGCTGTTTCTCAATCTGAAAGCTGCTAAAAATTGTCAAACGAATAAATCCTCAAAGATACGCTGGTGTGAGCTTGCTGTACAAATGATGCTATGATATACACATATTACTATATTTCATGTTTCTGGATGAATGCATGTTATGTGTTGTTAGTTTTAGTCTCCTTCTGTTTCCTGCAGGAATATCTCAATGTCCTAGGAAGGCCTATGGTCTTGGCCGGAAACAAAGCAAAGCAAGTTCAATGGACCAATGTCTATCAGGACGCTTTAGTAAGGAAAACAGCTCTATGAAATATTGCAACCAGATTTTCTTTCCCACTTTCATTTGCTTGTGTGATTCATACATTGTAATACGGTTCAGATTAGATCAGGGGTGGGCAAATATGGCCCCTTTATGACCTGTGGACTTCAACTCCCAGAATTCCTGAGCCAGCTTGGCTGTCTTAGGAATTCTGGGAGTTGAAGTCCACAGGTCGTAAAAGGGCCACATTTGCCCACCCCTGGATTAGATAAATACATTTAGTGTTCCATATCCCTTCAGATTCCCAGACCTGTTAATCTTGAGATGCTTTCTTCTCCCCATTTTCTCCCCGATCAAAGTCTAATTGCTCCACTCTTCAATATTATGAGTTAGAAATGCTATTATAATTCTGAATTGGCCAGTTAGGATAATGCCTTACAGATAATGCCATATTTTACTTTTGTTATTGTTGTTGTTACTTTTTTAGGGCCTGGGTTTAGTGGTAACGGGCACTCTGCCTGTATTTAACCTCACTGATGATGGTCAGTCTCGCGGAAGCGGTGAATGGAAGGTATGTTCGTATTTTGCAAGAAGCTGCCACCAAAATCATATTGGGTGGTTACTATTATGCCGTCATCCCCTTTGCTTTGTACAACTGCTCCACAGAGAATCCACAATATTCCTTGATTTTCAGCCAAGTAGCATTCTCAACTGAAAATCATTTTTCCTGAAATTGGTTTTAAATTGTTATCAGATCTTCTTGTGAGATGGATGGATGGACAGACAAAAAATAAGATGCTAAACAGATACAACAGCTTTTCCCAATGGGGTGCTTATTACCCTGTTTCCCCCAAAATAAGACATCCCCTGATAATAAGCCCAATCGGGCTTTTGAGCGCATGGCAATAACGCCAAGCACTTATTTCAGGGTTCAAAAAAATATAAGACAGGGTCTTATTTTCGGGAAAACACGGTAGATATAACTTGAGAATTCTGGGGGTCATAGTTCAGCATACATGGAGGGCACCAGATTGGAGAAGACTGGGATAGAGATGCTGCCAATTTTCCTAAGACTCCACTTAGAGTACTTATAGTAAGCCAGCAACCAACCATGTTCTTTTCCAATATTCATACACTAAAAAGAATACAGTTAGATTCCCAAACATTTTTGTATAACAGAACTGTAAACAGAAGTGTTTCTTTTTTTAAACATACTCAGTAATATCCCATAATATCATTTTGAAGCTATATCATATATCAGCAAGTAATGGAGAACATTCTCTTACATATGGTACATGAATTGGTGTCGCAGTACAGGAGATAAAGAAAAAAATACAACAGGCAAAAATACTACACCAAGAAATAGTCCCAAACATTTATAATCAGTTTAGGGGCAGGTATGAGGACGGAATGTAAAAGCATTTAAGCATATAAATGATGTTAAATCTGTCCAGAATGGCAAACATGTGAAGGAATATTATTACAACCAAATAAGAAAAAACTCTCCCATTTCATTCATTTACATTGCTTGTAAACTAAATTATCCTTTCACACCAAACCTATTTTGACAAATATCTTGATGATTCCATACATTTGATTGGAATACAAGCAAAATTACTGAACACAGTTATGCTTATTTCATCATTAATATAAGTTGAATTTTTTATTTAAATGGAAAAAGTTTAATCATATTTATTAAATTTGCACTGAACTGAAATGGATATCTTTGTGATTCTTCTTAGAATATGTTTGGCATGTGATACATTTTGCTTATTGAGGGAAAAGCCAAAATCATGTATTATTGAAACAGGAGAGATCCTATATAGGCCTAAATCAGTGGTGGGTTTCAAAATTTTTTACTACCGGTTCTGTGGGTGTGGCTTCGTGGGCATGCCATGGCTTGGTGGGTGTGGCTTGGTGGGCATGGCAGGGGAAGGATACTGTAAAAACTCCATTTCCACCCCACTCTGGGGGAAGGTTACTGCAAAATCCCCATTTCCTCCCAATCAGCTGGGACTTGGGAGGCAGAGAATAGATGCGGGCAGGGCCAGTCAGAATTTTTACTACTGCTTTTCTGAACTACTCAAAATTTCTGCTACCGGTTCTCCAGAACAGGTCAGAACCTGCTGAAACCCACCTCTGGCCTAAATCTATTGCAATTACTATCAAATTTAGAGTTAATTGTCGAAATGATGAATGGCATGAATTTATATATTTTTAGGATATTTTTCATGAGGAATTATTTATGCCTATTTTAATGGCTCTCCTCTGTTGTGGCATCCCATGGAAGAGAATCTTCTAAAACTATGACATTATTGAGAGCAAGTAATGATGTGTTAAAAATACACTTGGACCCAAATTAATTATGGGATATGTAAAACTAAAGCCTCATCAGGAATGGTCAACATGTGGCCATCTGTGTTATCAGATTGCAATTCCTGTCATTGTTTATCCATGCATAAGACAAATAAGGCTCTTTCCTGAATATGAAGACTGTCTACTTGGTCCTTCATGCCCTGATCATCTCTCGTTGGGACTGTTGCAACATGTTGTACATGAGCTACCCTTGAAAAGTATCCAGAAGCTTCACCTATTACAAAATGCAGCCACGTGGACAATTTTAGTCACCTAAAGGAGGACACATTCAGTCCCAGTTTGTTTCTGGCTTCAGTTCAAGGTGTTGGCTATGACCTATAAAACCCTACACGGCATGGAGCCAGGCTACCTACAGAGCCATTTTTGTTCCATTACATTGTCCCATCCTATCAAGCAGGGAAGGTATGTTGTGGACACCATCAGTTAAAGAACTCCAATTGGCAGGCCTAGGAAGAGAACTTTCTCTGCTGTTGCCTCCACTCTGTGGAATATTCTCCCCCCCCCCCACACACACACACACAGATGAGACGGCCCCCACTCTCCTAGTCTTCCCAAAAGGAGTCAAAACCTGGCTCTGCGGCCTCTCATGGGGAGCCCAAAGGAGCATGTAATAATGACAATGTCAGATGTAAATGCCTTATTCTCCAATGTGTAAATAATGTATATATGGAACATCAGAGGTTAACTTATTCTTTGGACTTTAATGTATTCATAACTTACCACTCCCATTCCTAGCTCCACCCCTTGTATATATAAGGAGCCACCCTCACCATTCTCGTCGCTTCTACCTTGAATATTCAGTGAATATAGAATGCCTATCATAATTAAAAAGAAATATATTTAAAGCTTTAACTTCTATTATCTTTATTGAGTCTGATCCTGAAAATATTGCAACAAGCTGGTAGCAGAGGATGGTTAATTGACTCAATAAGTAATTAAAAATGTCCAAGAAAGATAGGCCCAACACCAGGGCCTACAGCAAAGAAATAGAAACTGATCAAGAGATGATCAACGAATCCACCAATGCGATTTCGAGAGAATCCGAAGAATACACCACTGAAGAAGAAGAACTAATGAGTGAAAATAATGACCAGAAAGAAATCGAAATAGAAAATAACGAACTCAGGTCAGAGATATTAAAGATACTAAAAAGCCAAAAGAATGATGAAAGTCTCATCGCGGACCTCCAGGAGATGCTGAAGAACAGCGGAGCAGCGAGAGAGAAAAACGTCATTAAAGAAAAACCCAAAGATCAAAAAATCGTAAGTGAGATGACTACTGAGAAAATAGTTGTTAAAAAGAAAAGATGTGATCCCGCACGAAATTTTGAATGGCAGCCATCTTGGTTTCAACGAACTTCAAAAAGAATGGAGCAGAGCCAATCAAAACGCTCAGTTCAAAATTTCTGGCGCGAAAACACTATCAGACGAAGAAAGTGAGAAAGAAGTCTCAAACTCTTCAGATGATCCAAAATCAGAAAGTGAAGACGATTTAACAAAATCTCAAGTAAAATCAGCAATGAAAACGCTTTTTGCTGCTTTTGGGCCAAGACTGAAAATTACCAAGACATCTACGAAGAAGCAAGAAATCAAACCGGCGACTCAAGACCTGCACGCTCCCATCCTGACTTCGAAAGCGACGACGCCCGAGCCCAGAGAGCCATGCCGATTTCGCCCTACACCACAGACAAAATCGAATACCAACGCACACAAAAAGAAGAAAAGAACCGTCACCACCACCAGAACCCCAAAAACCGAGCCAGAGACCGACTCATCTGAGGAGGAGCGGATCGAGAGAGCTGAAAGGGAGAGAACCTTCCACGACGCCACCAAAGAAGAAATGAGCAACGCGCATGTGCGAAACTACGTAGACGACCCAGAAGGACTTGAACTGGCCAGAGAACCGCGCAGACTCATTGCAAGCATCCCAATGCCGTTCTGTAATTTCCTGCACTTGAGAGATCACGGACTGCCCCAGGTTGTAAGTAATGGACAGAATAATGTAGGTAACTTACCCAGTGACTTCCCAAAACTTAGAATTGATGGCATTAATTTACAAGAGTGGTATCAACAGCTTCAGGTTATTTTCATGAAAGAAAATTTACTATTCTTTATAACTAGCCCTCCAAGAAGACCTTGGACTTTAAAAATAGATTGTTTACATCATAGAGCATTTTTCATAATAATATCTAGCGTGTCTCCTGCAATGTATCATAGCATCAAAACAAACCTAACTGTATCAGAAATAATTCAATGCATGTTTAATCTATTTCACAGCGATAGCGTAGCTACAACCACAAGAATGTCTAAGGATTTCTTTTCCTCTAGAGTAAAACCAGGGTTTCTATAAGTGAGCATTTGATAAATCTAAACAAAATAAGAGCTGAGCTACAATTGAGGGGGGAAGTGATTTCAGATCAAACAATGAAAAGTGTTATTATCAATTCACTTGATCCATCATGGGATAGCTTTATGTCACACTTAGATACCATTAATTTGGGATATTTATCCATAGAAAGTCTATCTAACAAATTGATAGCAGAAGACAATTCAAGAAAAAATCGATCCAGTAACCAAACAGACCACAAACCTTTTAGGAAAGTAGTCTTTCAAGATAAACATAATGAGGCCTTTAGATGCTACAATTGTGGATCCAGGGAACATAGTAGAAGAGACTGCCCCAAAGTCTCAAGAGAGAGACATAGACCAGAATATAGGAGCAAATATAATTACAGACAATCTTCCACAGATAGACACAAATAGAAGCCCACCAAATTACAAAGAAGGTAGAGGGGGTAGAGAAAATTCAAAAGAGAGGAAATCTGGGTCACTGAATGGGCTAAATAAACAAGACAGCACCAGAACACAGCAGGATGAGAATAACAATTGGCTTATTGATTCTGGTGCAACAAATCACACCACCAACAACAAAAGTATATTATCTTCATTCATAGAAGATAAGTTTGTGATAAAGGTAGCTAATCAAGAAAAGGTTCAAGTACTAGGCAAAGGAAATGTGACCTTGCCTGGTCTAGGGAAAATAGAGGGGGTATTATTAATCCCAGAAATACCTCACAACATACTAAGTGCCATAAAATTAAGCAGAGAATCTGATATCAATATAGTTTTCTCAAAGGGGAAAGCAACTATAGAAAAGAACAAAACAAATGTAGGTACTGTAATGATAAAAGGAGGT